TTCTGGCTCTGTAAACACTAATCTATATACTGCTTTTGCAAATCTTATTTCAGCTTGACAATGAATTTAATAGATTAGTAGATCAGTAGGAAAGCCATTCCAAAGAGTTTAAAAAGTTACATGGACTTGAGAATATAACTAGTGACAGTGACAAGTTTCCACTCCATTTTATCTGTAATGTTCTACTCTCAATATGATAGTCACATATGCAAGTATTTGTGTGGTGTTTAGGGGCAGTTTATATTTTCAGAATAGCTGTAATTTTAAGTTTAAAAATAGTGTTTGTGGGACACCTGGGTGGCTCAGTGGTTGGGCGTCTGCCTTTGGCTGGGGTCATGATCCAGGGGTCCTGGGATCAAGTCCCGCATAGGATTCCCTCAGGGAATCTGCTTCTCCCTCTGCCTATGTCTCTGCCCCTCTCATGATTAAATAAATTAAAATATATATATAGTTTTTGTATCATCTATAGTGGTATTTAGGATAACTTTAAGGAAACATTAATCATTTTACACTTGATCTAAAACACATACACACACATACATATATATGATATCATACCAGACATATGTAAAGAAACTAAGATAATTACCTATTAAAAATAATTTATTGTGGCTTTTTTTTTTTAAGAGGTGAGGTGCAGAGGGAGAGAGAATGTCTTAAGCAGTCTCCATGCTGGGTGTGGGGCCTTGAGGTGGGGCTTGATCTCACCACCCTGAGATCATGACCTGAGCTGAAGCAAGGATTGGATGCTTAATCGACTGAGCCATGCAGGTGCCCTCATTTATCTTGGCTTCTGATTGCAATATTTACATGAATTTTTTTTCCCTTAAGACTTATCTTTTGGGTGCACATAGACTGGATTCTGCTTAAATATCCATTTAGCCAAGTCTTTCCTTTGTGATTAAGAGGCCATCTTTTGAAAAATGAGACTACAGTAAAGCAGTCATTCCAGCCTTGATTTTCCATGAGGGAAGCTTTGTCACCACTACCTGTTTCTGACATTAAAATTATCTGCATTTATTAAAGTTTATAGATTCTTAGGCTGCATATATTTCCAAGCAGTATTCTGTTGATACCAGACATCTAAGAATCAGTATGTGCAATAATGAGAGGAAGAAGAAAATAGATCATCAGACTTGCTCAACTGGCCTTGTTTTGAAATCACATCAAAAAAGAAAGTTGCTCGTCCTTGTGCCACGTTAACTCGAAGATATCGTTATAATATTAATGGGCATTGTGCTGTTGGTCCACCATTACTCCTGCCAGAATGACTTTCTTGTTTATCTAGTAAAGAGAAGGTCTAAAGCCTTGAGCATGTAATAATTCACTTGATAAAATCCAGGTTTTTGAAAAACAAGTCATATTAAAAAACCCCCAGAATTAGTTAGCAGGTGATAAATGTTTTATTTACTTCCGTATCACATCATATTCATTAGTAATGGTGATGTACTGACAATTATCAAATGCTGTTATGTGCCAGGCACTTGCTAAGTGCTTCTAAATGGAGAGGAGTAAAACATGCGCACCTTTGTTTTATTGAGAGTAGGATTTTATGATTCCACAACTGCTGCCTGAGTAAGAGCCAGGCTTGAAAGGCCAAGTATTTTATAGGAAGTCTTTGAGGAGGAAGAGGAGGACAAGTACTCTGTGAGGGGCCCAGAGGCTGCAAAGAGTGACAATACTCTGAGATCAGGGAGAGGATAAGTTGTGACACCATCTTCCTGGGAGAGGGGAAGGGGTTAGATTCGTGGAAAGAGGTCTAGGAAGACATATACTAAGGAGCAAAAGGGAAGGAAAGTCTCCATCTGGAGAGTGAAAGTTGAGTTAGCTATGAGCCCATCTGAAATGAGCTGCCCGTCAGGTATGAGCTTGAGAAAAAAACTGTAGTATTTGATGACTGTACCATGAGTCTGGAGAGTGTTGAAGGCTTCTTTAGAATTTTCTGAAGAACTTTGTACGAGGAGGACTCAGCATACTCTACATATGAACAGAACTGTGCATTCTGTTGCTAGGGAATTCCACCATTTGGACATAAATGGAAGTTCTTTTTCCTCTACAAACTAAAAGTCTGAAAGTTCAGAGAGATATTTCTCTTTATCTGTAAAAAAGGAAATGTGCCCATAGGAAATTTTGAATAAGCCAGAAATTTCCAAGAAACATTTAAGAATTGTAGCGAGAACTGCCAGGATTGCTCAGTATCCGTGATTACCCAGAGCAACTGATGAAAGAAGGACCATGAGCTGTATGTACCAGAGATGATATCAGTGACTCAAAAGGAGAACTGCTTGCATAGGCCCATACCTCATTTCTCAGGAGAGAGTGCCTATAAATGACCCTACCAGTTCTAATTAGATGATAATTAAAGCAAAATCATGTGAGTCAAAAACTGAAGAGTGACATCCTATGGCCAAGACTGGATAAATAAGAGTTTGAGAAAGAGGACAGGAAATCTCAGCAGAAAACTGGGATTGTAGTTTTTTGCTATGTAAACCAGATTCCCAACTAGGGTGCTGAATTTTGACTAGGAAATGTTTGATTGCCAATTTCCCTAAGAAGGAGAGGTTCTTACGCACGTAAGGTTTGAAGCCAGATTAATGCCTATGATACCATTTGGGGGATAATCAAGATATCTTTGTGGATGGCTATTTTGTGTGCCTGGGTCTCAATTTCTGTATTTGTAAGATGGGTACAAACATAGCTGTGACATATTAAATGAGATGATGTATGCAGTGTTCTAGGCACTTAACAGTTGCCGGCCTCTCTCTTGAGCCCCTCAGAATTTCTTTTTGTTCATTTCTTGGTATTGAGGGAGAGAGAAGAGTTCTGACCTATAGATAACCGGAGATATCAGCTTTATTTTTTGAAAATGCTGATCACCTAGACACACTGAGTTTGCTGGTATCCATTTGTTGGCTGTCTGGTGAAACCACCTTCTGTAGAGCAGTGTGTGTCAGCATGAAAGGGCTATTTGTGATCACAAGGTTGATTGTGATTTGAGGAGGATCATGTTAAGAATGAATAATAGCTGGATTGCTCATGATGCTTCATCTTAGAATGTTTACATTATGAGATCTAGATCACTTCTGATCACAAGAGGCTACAGGGCCAAATGTTTGTTATGCATCTAATAAATATCACAGTAAGAAGGAGTATTGCTTTTCCAGCCTGGCATCTTTTTCCTGCTTTCATTTCCCTTTGCACATTCTACCAGACCTGAGGTTTTAGCCAAAGATACAGTAATAAGTGTTGATTAGTATTTAATGAAATTAAAACCTTTGCTAGTAAAGCCTTGTAGAATTTCTTTTGCCGAGGTGGACATTTGAATGGAATGAGAAATACTGTCCATTAAGGAGAAAAGGGGTACCTTTGTTTTCTTTTAAATATGATCATTAGTATTAAAACTTTTTCCTGCCAGTTGGCATGTTGCTCTCCTAGCAGCTGTTTTAAATTCCTTAATTGTCTATTGCTTACTCGGCGATCATTTCACAAATTTCTTCACTGCTGCATAGTTTTTGCTGAACCAAATTCTGACAGTGGGGGTGTCAATCTCACAGGCTGGGCTGAGCTGAGTTCTAGTTACCCTTTTCCAGTAATGAGATAAGCTCTCATTAGACAGTGTATTGTCATGGAGCGCTAGTTCCCTAGGTCTCATTGGAGGTGATTACTGGGGAAATGGGGATCTGCTGAAGCTTTGGGTTGCCAGTTGTGTTACTTTTCTTTTTACGGATGTTGCTTGAATTCTGTTTAACCCAATATAGCTTTTTTAATGCTTACAAAGGAAAAGGAGTTTACTCAAGGACTTACAAGATGCACACTCTTATGTTATCTCACTGCTTGTAATTTAGCTCAGAGTGAAGAAATTAAGCATTTTCACCATAGTATTTTTATTCTTGTATGGTTAACCATTTCACACTTTGTTCTGTGTATATTTTCTGTTGAAATACTGTAAAACGTGTCTGTAAGGTGATATATACCCTTGAGATTAGATGATCTGTTCTTTCCAGAAACATCAACACAGCATATTTTCAGGCATTAGGTTTAACTATAGTATAATGAAGCCTTATTCAATTGGATATCAGACATTGTGCTTTTTGTTAGTATGGTGATATGTCACATTATATATGATGGTTCCATAATGTGATCCACTGCTTTCCTAGTGATGTGAAAGCTGGTAACACAAGCCCAAATTTTTGTTTATATATCAAATTAACACCCTTCATATCTTATTTCATAGTCATGCATTGCAGGAACATGCATTATAAAGTGTAGGGTGGCTTATTTTGTCATATTTTTTTTCTTGATTCAAAGTACAGTCAGAAGGTAATTACCAGGTTTATTTAGATTCTCATGCTGCATATGTTCTTGTCTCCAATATAAATAATACAAGATAATTTGTAACCACTTTAATTGTCTTAGTTTAACTGTAAATAGGCAGTGTTTTTTTTTCCATATAACAACAGACAAAGAAAGTGGTAATTGGGTTTACACATCTAGATTGTATTTTTCTAAAGTTTATTTATTTATTTTAGAGTGATCTCTATACCCATTGTGAGGCTCAAACTCATGACCCTGAGATCAAGAGTTGCATGCTCTTCCAACTGAGCCAGCCAGGCACCCCTTACACACCCAGATTTTAAAACATTTGCCCTTAACTGTATGCTTTTCTGCAAGTCATTTAACTTTAACTGTACTCTCACTATAAAAGTGAGCCTGGTAATCCCTTCCTCAGTAATGTTGAGAAGATTAAACGAAGTCACGGAGACAGTGCCCTTTCACAGAGTTTATAGCAGGTACTAAAAAAAAACCCTGTGTTCCTTCCTTTCTTTCTGTTAGAAAGAGTATTAGACTTTTGCCATCAAAGGGAAAAAAGATCCCTGTCTCTTACAAAATTTCTTAGGGAATGCATAAATTCAGTGTGGGCCTTCTAATTCTGACAAATAGAATATTGATTTCGAGTTCATTGCTGTAACTTGCCAAATGAAATGAAAGGTTTATGCTACTCCTTTCAAGTCACTTCTGATATATCTTGAGCAAACAAAGTCTGTATTTAATAGAAGTTTGCTAATTAGGAAAAGTTTTCAATTAGCAATAATCATGCTTTGGGTAAACCTCATTGGCTACAATACTGCCACTGCGCAGAGCTGAAGTTTGCTAATTGGAAAGTGTTACTAATTCAACACAGATGTAGAAAATGAGAGTCTGAGAGGAGGCCATGGAACTCAACGAAAGAGTGGGATAGAAGCTGCCACTTTGTTTTGCCTGCTAGGATGAACTTGACTGTACAAGGCCGTAGTGCTAATTACCTTTAGCATGTTTAAGTTCTCACTTCTCACTTGTCAGTGTAGAGACAGGAAAATCCTTATTGGTCTGTACATGTCACACTGCAGCAAGCTGAAAGCTGAAGGCATAAAGAAACTCTCAAGGCACTACTTCCAGAGACTGCTGATGTTCCAAATGGAATGTGGGGGATGGAATTCTAATTTCTGGAGCAAAATGACACAGGGGGGTGGGGGTGTTAAAGGGAGGCTCCTTGTATTCATTATTGTCTTCTGTGTCAGTGTGAGAGTTTGGCCCACAGGCATAAAAGCAAGCATGACTTGAACCCTAGCAAAACTACCATTAGATAGATTTTAGTGGCAATCTGAGAAAGTCAATATGTGCTCAGAGAGAAGAGGAAGAAAGAGCCAAGTGATGAGAATGCCATCAACCCAGTAGGATTCATTTAGTGTGTAGTCATAGATGGCATCCTTTGTCTTCCCTTTGGACCAGGCCTGACTATATCTAGACCTGCTGATGTAATGCCAAACTGTTATCTTTAAAGTCTGGTAGCAACCTGCTTTGACAGAAACCTACAGAATCGTGAGCCCTTCGTGGTTTCTTGATGTGATCTAAAAATGTGTTCACATCACATCAGACATAATGAGGGAAAAGAACTGCTTTTGAAGACACTAATGAACAATGATCATATAAGTCAGTGAAGTAGAAAATGCAAACAGGTGCAGACAGTTGTATGTCTTGAACAACATGAAGACTAATAGAACTAACAGTGAGTCCTTACTCTATGCCAGGCACAGTGCTAACACTTAATTTTATTATTATTTTTAGATTTTATTTATTTATTCATGGGAGACATAGAGAGAAGCAAAGACATAGGCACACAGGCTCCCTGCAAGGAACCCGATGTGGGACTCCATCCCCGACCCCTGGATCACTCCCTTTGCCAAAGGCAGATGCTCAGCCACTGAGCCACCCAGGCGTCCTGTGCTGATACTTTATAATGCAGCATTGTCTTTCAACCACACCACTGTGGATACTAAATTGTATCCTCATTTTATGGTGTAAATTTTGAGGCTCAGCAAGGTAAATGACTTGCTCAAGGTCACATAGCTCATAACAGAACTGAGATCCCAGGGCCAGCCATCTGATTTCAGAGCCTGAATGAAGAGCCTTTAGAGAGATCACTGATTTTTGCAATAAGACAAAAATGCCAACCATTGGGCAGAAGAGTCGGAAAAATGTTAATCCCTGTAGAGGGCCACTATTCAGGTTAAACTCACCCAAAATAATTTTCTAACATGATAAAGCAGGCCCATGGTAGCCACTGACTGACTGCTTCAGATATGTTTGCCTCTGGGGAAGAAAGTGCACTGATTCATGTAACCCTACTGTCAGGGTTATTTAAATCTCAGATCCAACCTAGAATTCACTTAAATAATCTTTCATTATTTTCCTGTGTACTCTTATGATTTCTTTCTTGCCTGACAAGAATAATGTTCAGCATAATTAATTCAATTAATTCTAGGCTTCCTCATCTCTGCATTTAGTGTCCAAAGTACTTTCTTCTCTTTGGTCCCTGTTTTACCAAAATCTGTCATTTTGCTTAGAAAATAATAACAACTGTTGAACCTGGAAACCCCCAGTGTAAGTTTGTAACTTGCCAGATATAAACAGAATAAATAGCTTGACCAGAAGACCACCCCCACTGGTTTTTCTACAACCCCTTTGGGCACTTCTTGGAATAAACATGACCCCTATGCTTGTCCAGGAAATACCACAGTTGGCATGGTCACCTACCTTCTGGGCAGGGGCCACAATGAGGGAGGGGACTTTATTGAGGGACTGTCAGAATGCTTTCTAGAGTTTGTTAATACATGTTTGCTATCTCTTCCACCCCAGGCCCATCAGGGATGTTAACCTTGAAGATAATAGTAACTGTCGTCAGTAGGAAAATCCAGCTCTGTTTTGACCCAAAAGGTAATTTAGGATGGCTTATGGAACCCGAAGCTAAACGTCAAATGTAATTAAATGTTACTGCTGTGTCTTGCTTTAAGAAGAGAGCTGCTGAGTTCTAGCACAGTGTAAGAGATATTCGAATTAACCATTTTGATTCTTTTCCACATTACATAAGAGGCCTTATCTCTGGCAGCACAGAAATTTTCCCTGAGGAACAAGGAGGTGTCACATTTCAGGAAATTGCTATAGTATTTCTTCAGCCTGATTTTGGACCTAGGTTTCTGATTGGTTTTCTTGAAATCTTCACCTGAATATGACCCTGGAAGATGGCAGGAATGCTATCTTCAAGTATGTGTAACATTTTTAAAGAAATTAGTCTTGAAAAAATCAAGTAGACTCTTTTTCAAAAATCCTTCCCCAAAATGCTTATATATTTGAATGGGAAAATCTCAGTAAGACACTGTTACTAATGTAAGTGCTAATTATTAAGAAAAACATAAATGGTATCTCTCCATGAGGAGATAAAGTGAGGCCTTTAAAAAAAAAAGATTTTATTTATTTGAGAGACAGCAGAGCAAGGGAGAGAGCATGAGCAGGGGAGAGAGGGAGAAGCAGACTCTCCACTGAGCAGGAAGCCCTATGTAGGGTGCAGGGCTTGATCCCAGGACCCTGAGATCATGACCTGAGCCAGAGGGCAGACCCTTAACCGACAGAGCCACCCAGGCGCCCCTAAAGTGAGGCCTTTTGATACAGTGATGCCTACATCTGGAAATCAGACTCATTTTCAAGACATAAATCCAAATCAGAATAGGAATGACTCTTTTAATATTAACACTAAATCTACTCTTGAATGGTAGAAGAAGGAAGGGGAGAATTTTGAAATTTTTGACCTCAAGGAACATATATCCCAAACCTTATAAGTTTCAGGAAAGCTACATTTTCCTCTTCCTTCCTTATTTTGTCTCTCAGTCCTAAAATATTCTCTGGGCAATCAATTTTAGAGATCTTTCAAAGAAAGCAAAACTTGACTTGTCTGCCTGTTAACTACTGCAAAAGTGTGTAGATTCCTGCTGTTCAGTGTAACTACTAACAGTAATAAGGAAACACCTATTATTGTCATTATCTGGAAAAAAGAAGCTCCTAGATTGGATTAAGTGAGGTTGTTGTGCTCTAAAGAAACGCAGCATTAGGCAGTAATGAAGGTGCAGTAGCAGAAATGAAGGCGCTCTTTCATCAGAGTTATTCTCCCCCACCTTTCCTTTTCTGTCGGAAGAGGATGTGGAGTGAGAGAAGAGCTTGATCTGTTTGGGGAGAAAGTATCACAGCCTATTAGTTAGAAGAGATGAAATTGAGACAGCTTCGGGGACTCCATTAAGTGTGTGGTGTTTAGGCGGACTGTATCCCTAGGTAAGGAGTGCTGTTGAGGAGGAGAATGCACAATGAAATAATTGGGCTGGGGAAATCAACTGGGCTTCTGTGGCCTCTTATGTCCTTGTAGGGGTGGGGGAGGGAGACACACCCCCGCCCACAATGCCTTTCTCTTAGCATAAAAGCCATACTGAATAAACTAGAGGGGAATTTCTTGCTGAGTACATGAACTGTCAGTGTATTTTGAATAATAAAAACAATGGGTATAATTAAATTTCATCTGGCACGGGAAGGATTCAGAGCATGTCACCTCAGAACCATCTCACACTATGCTATTCTCCAGGCATCTGGATATCCGGTTGCTGCAGCTGATGGAGAATAATTCAGATTTGATCAGTAATGACAGCATCTATAGGGACATGTATTAATACATTGATGTGTCTGGAATTAGGTTCTTAAATAAAACATCATCCTCATGTATTTATTTTCATTTTAAAGGAATAAATTGAAATCAGCAAATAGAAGATGACTTCCTTTTCCTATCAAGACACACAGATAGGCAAAATTTTTTTGGATATTAGTTAAGGGTAAGCTCTGTAGTTCAGGTACTGTTAATGTTCACCTGACTGCATATCTTTTGAGATCAGAAAAGGTACAGTGATAGCAAGTCCAAAGCTCAGATAATCATTATTGTACTCTTGGGGAAAAGATTTAAGAAACCATCTTTTTTACATTCAGTATATATAATGATAGTTATGGCTAATATCCAGAATAAATTGACATGATGGCTAATTAAATACTCTTCCATGTGCTAGATACTTTGTGTACATATACACAGTTGGTTCTATTTGAAAAAAATCCTGCTTATCTCCACTTCTGCTACCTGTTAGCTATTAGCTCTTGAGTAACAAATAAGCTTCTTTCAGCATTAGTTTTCTCAGAAAAAGGAGGGAACTAGACAAAATAAATTCTCTCTATTCCAGGCTCATGCATGCATGCACACATGCATGCCTGGGCATCCCTCACCCACACACACGCATTCTATTTCTGAGTATATGTACAATGCTACCTGTTTGACACATATACGCAGATGTCCATACACATATGCAGAGCATTCTTAACACCAATTATGGGATGCCAAGGTGGTTCAGTGGTTGAACATCTGCCTTTGGCTCAGGTTGTGATCCCAGGGGTAATGGGATCAAGTTTGCATCGGGACTCCCTGCAGGGAGCCTGCGTCTCCCTCTGCCTGTGTCTCTGCCTCTCTCTGTGTGTCTCTAATGAATAAATAAGTAAAATCTTAAAAATAAATAAATAAAAATAACACCAATTACTTTTCCTCTTTTAAGTTTTCATTTTTTAAAAACAATTTATCCTATTTGATGCTAGATGGTGACACCCAGACCCCAAGGAAGAATATATTGTGATTTGTACAAAGAGAAATGTTTTATCCTTGGTTCATATTTTCAGAATTACAAATGTATATTTTTTGATATCTTTAAGGAAAAATTACGTGCAGTACTTTACACCATAGGTCTCACT